ATAAAAATCAAACTCAGAAATCGTGGGCTTTGATCCAAGCCCATTATAAATGAGAAACATTTTGGGCCGGTATTATTTTATCTATAAAAAAAAATTGAAAACTAATGAAAAGAATTTGAAAACTTTGAGTTTTAACGATAAGGATAAAATAAATTGTAAAGTGAATAGTATCATGATTGACTTTCTAGTGTAAAAATGTGGTTTTTCGTTAAAATAAACAGTACCGGGAGTTTTTCATTAAAGTTCCCGTAAAAAAAAACCCAACCAAATCCATCTGAGTAAACCTTTTATATTCTTTAAACAATAATATCCAAATTGTCGATTTGGAAAACAATTTTTAATTTAATTGATTTTTTTTCAGAGTAAATTTTAATGATTAATAATATGAATAAGTCTGATTATTATAACATTTCTACGACGAAAATCGTTCATTACAAAAACCTAGTACTAATGACTTTTCTATTTTTGGGTTTTCACCCCCCATGTTCATATTAAGTTTACTAGAATGTAATGGAATATAATTGTGATATATGCAAAAGTTAACTCAATCAAGTGTAGTTAACTCAAGTATTCATCCCAAATGGTCCCGTCCTCGAAGCAGTCGTCCATTGATGGAGCCTGGAATGAATCCATCTCCAACCGAAGGCTGGTCAGAGAGTTTGTTTTAGCCATCTAGTCTTCCAAGAAATTAATATTTTGATGAACAGTGCATGACCATATTTCTTACCATCTCCAACTAAGGGTCATAGGGCCAAACATAATTTATTATTTAAATTTAAAAAATACAACAACTTAAATTAAATGAAATATAATTAAATATTTAAAATAAATTGTGAAAACACTTACTTCATGTAACATCCCACATCGCATAGGGAAATGGATCATGTAAGCCTTATATGTATATTCTCATCTCTATCTAGCACAAGGCCTTTTGGGAGCTCACTGGCTTCAGATTCCATCAGAACTCCGAAGTTAAGCGAGTTCACACGAGAGCAATCCCATGATAGGTGACCCATTAGGAAGTTCTCGTGTGAGTTCCCAGAAAGAAAACCGTGAGGGCGTGGTCGAGGCCCAAAGTGGACAATATCGTGCTACGACGGAGTCGAGCTCGGGATGTGGTGGGGGCCCGGGTCGGGATGTGACACTTCATCATAGTAATTGGCGTCGCTTTCATGTATACTTGCAGCGGTTAACAATTGTATGTTAAATTAATTTTTTAATTTAAGTGTCCAATTACTAGTAACTTAGTTTGAGATAGTTACATGTATAAATGCATATTTACCATCTCTAATAGGAAGCTTATAGTTGGGGCACCCATTATATTTGTCCCACATCAGGAAAGAATTGAGCAAGCAAAAGCTTGCATGTGTGGCACCCACAACACCCCTACATAGAACCAATTACCTTTTTGGACCTTAATTAAACATTCTTTTTAAATTTTTGGCCCAAAAAATTACTGTAAAATAATAATAATAATGATAAATAAATAAATAACGGCTAGCCGTTGAGATTCAAATTTTTTAGCCCCGCCCGGGGCAGACTGGCTGGCTCATTAGGGCCGGCCAGTTGGCCCTTTGGCCATTTTTTGTTCAGTGAGGCCCACAAGCCCTTTGGCCTGGCCCTTGGTTGAAGACGGTTTTAAGGCTATTTTCGGCCCTCTGGTCCTCTGGACCCTTTGGTTGGAGATGGTCTTAAAGTTTTGGGTGTAGGAATAGTGGTCATAGACTCAGAGGGCATCTTTGTTGTTGCGTTCGTTTAGAAAGTTGGCCAATGTTTTCTCCCCTTTGCAGGCTGAAGCTATGGCGGTTAGTGCAGGGTTAGCTTGGACAGCGGGAAGGGGTTTTCAAATCTTTAAGAATGATTTGTTAACAACGTTGTGAAACAATCAAAGGATAATGAAGAATTGAGTAAGATGAAGAATTAGAGAGAAACTTCAAAGAGAAAACAAAGTTCTGTATTTCTAACAAGATGATTGACTAATTACATTTGTAAGTTTACAAGTTCACTTAAGCACAAATTAACTCATTAACTAACTAACAAATCACCTAACCATCTGACAAACATTCTAACAATTTAGGCTGATGTGACAATGATATAGAGAGATTTGTCTTCATGATTATCTCCATATCACTTTGGTGCTGCTGGAGCGTTCTCTCAATTCGACAATGGTTGGTCCAATTGTAGAAGATGCTAAGGCCTTACTTGAATAGATCATTGGAGTTGCACCTTCCTACGTTCGCCGCCAAGTTGATGGAGTGGCCATCGTCTTGCCAGGATTGCTCTTCAGGTTGTTGAGAATTGTGATTGAATTGGGGATCCTTCTCTAGTTATATCAGATATGATTCTAGTATTTCTAGAGGAGAAGTCTTCTTCTTTGCCGTTTGGCTTTTGTGATGAGAATCTGCGGCTTCTTTCAAAAAGAATAAAGCTCTCCATTCCAATTTAATTCATTTTCAATAGGTAAGGGCCATAGTGCAAGTTTAATTGAAAGTTCTTATCCGATTCGAAAATTTATTTGTTCCCAATCCTAAAGTTTTAAACCCAAATATTTAAAAAAAAATAGCTGAAAATTGGAATGTAATAATAGAGATTACGAATTGTATGTTTCAAAATTTAAGAATAATAAAAGGAACATCAATGCAAAGATGTGGAGCGGTCATAGGTTGAAACATGAAGATATATAGCGAGGTTTCTTAATTTACGAGAGGAGTAATGTTAGGTAGGTCAATTTTTTAGACCAAATTTGTAAATCATATAAAAAATAAGTACGTTAATAAACACTAAATAATAATCTAATCATCAATAATCACGTCATATAGTTTACAAAGTTTAGTCTAAATGGTTGGTCTTCCTAGCATTACTCTTAGAAGAGAGAATATCCAAGATTTACCTTAACAAACTTAACGTTATAGATATATGATAATGAAAAGATTGTCGGAGTAAAAGTTGAATGTTTCGAACACCCGCCCCCCCCCCTCTCTTCTCCTCCCCTCCCCTTCCCTCATCCCTTTTTCGATGGACTCAGCTCTACCAAGAGAGATAGAGTAGTGCTGGAGATTTAAAATATAGGAATTTATATAATATGTAATTAGATAGTGGCTTTTATATATGTTAATTTACCAGCATATAAACATAATTTTATGTTTTTCATATATAATATTAGAAGAAAATGCTAAAAAATAGGAAATGCTAATTAGAATGAATAGGAAAGGAACAAGTTAAGCTAAAAGCAGTGGTACTGCATTCCCAAATTTAGTGTATGTACGTGCGTAGTTCCTCTTATTCATATGATATTCATGTATAAGAGATCAGTGTAGCTCACTCATCAATTTGGAGTAAAATTATTTGCAAAAACAAAATCCCAAATTATATCTTGGAATTATGAATGAGCATATACATGATATTATATATGATCCAAATGAGGGAATATATACTTGAAAATAAAATATTTAAACGATTTAGGGTTTATTTGTAAGTGTTTTTGAAGTAACTAGAAACGCTTTCAAATCATCAAAAGTGCTTTGATTATATTTGGAATAAGAAGTTAGAAGTGCACTTTTTAGGAAGCGCTTCTTTTTATTAAATATTTTAGTATTTTTCTAATAGAAGCCTTTTTATTGGAAGTGCTTTAAATAAGTAGTTCCAAGTGAGTCCGTAATTTCGAGAAATGATTTATACAAACCATTTTTTGTCTATCTGCACACTTTGTTTAGACAAACCACATATTTATACTACAATGGTGTATCATTTCATGTGACAAGTGATGCATACAATCAACATCTAATGAGATGAATTTATTAATTGATACATATCACTTACCACATCAAATGGTATCCAAAAATAGTCTCCTTAGTATTTTTCTAAATAGAAATATTCATGAAGAGAAACAAAAATGTGTGAAAACTATTTCCTTTTGCGAAAGTGACAATTAAGATACATAGAGAGGTTGGTTTATATGTAATTATGCATTATTGATGATGGTACTTGTCATGAAAATCGATCTTCTAGTCAAGTTTCTTACATAATTAAGTCACCAAATGACGCTTAGCTACAAGAGGAGATCGGAGGAGAGGAGGACTTGCAGCCCACCTTCTCATCACGCGCACTCGACCGCACCCAAACAAAACCCTAATTCCCAAGACCGACACGACGCACCACCACCTTTCCCCCATTCAACTTTTCATTTCATCTATTTCCAATTCGCATCACATCTATAATTTCTCAGAGAGAGAGAGAGAGAGAGAGAGAGAGACAGAGAGAGAAACTAAAAGAAAGAAGGAAAGAAAGAACCCAAATTAAGCTAGCTAGCTTCCCTAGACAGCCTTTGACCTTGACACACTCAAACCCTACCCAAGTTAATTTAACCCCAAAAAAAACCCGAACTGTTAATTTAATTCTTCCCCATTTGATCGTTTATATCTTGGTCGCACCTGACCAGATTTCTCTTACACTTCTCTTGTTACCTTACTTAGGGCTGGTTTGGTATTGCTGTGCTTTGAAAAAAAGCTGCTATGAGAATAAGCGGCTGTGCTGTGAGAATAAGCGGCTGTGAAAAAAATCAGCAGAGTGTTTGGTAAACTTTTTTGTAAAAGTGCTTTTGAAAAAAAAAGCAGTCTGATAGTGGGTCTTTTATTAAAGGAGCACTGTAGCTCCGTGTGCTTTGGAAAAAAGCCAGTTTTCCAAAGGTACAAATAGCATCTTCAGCTTTTTCCTTTGATTTCAGCTTATTCTCACAGCAACTTCCAAAATAAGCCTTTTTTTTTCAGTTTACCAAACATCTAAAACCCTCACAGCTTTTTTTCATGGATGCTTTTTTTATAAGCACCTCACTCCCAAACCACCCCTTAGCCAGCTAGGGCCCTCTCAATTTTCTTTCCCATTTCTTTACCCTACCTCTTCAAGCTGTTCTCTCTCTCTCTCTCTCTCTCTCTCTCTCTCTCTCTCTCTCTCTCTCTCTCTCTCACACATACATACATACATATCTAGGTTTTCTGTTTATACACAGACACTTTCCTTATATAATCAACCAGCTTAATTATATTACTTGTACTTGTGTCTTTTCCTTTATTTTATAAATTTATATATTACTATAATATCTTCATCCTTCCCTCCTCCTTTTTTTGTTTTTATTTTTCATTTTTTGAATCGATGGCGAACCGGTGGTGGGCTGGACATGTAGGTCTACCGGGAGGAGGAGTACTGAACGAAACCTCAGCCGTAGCAGCCGCCGGCAGCTCCCTCATGAAAAACATCATCAAACCAGATCTGGGAATCTCCATGAACAACACCGGAACGAGCAGCCTCGGAGGATCCGGGGGTGATGAAGATGATAACAACAGCGACGACCCCAAGGAAGGAGCCATCGAAGTCGCCACGAGACGACCTAGAGGCCGTCCGCCTGGCTCCAAAAACAAGCCCAAACCCCCAATCTTTGTGACTAGAGACAGCCCTAACGCTCTCCGCAGCCACGTCATGGAGATATCCAACGGGGCCGACATCGCTAACAGCGTAGCCCAGTTCGCCAGGAGAAGGCAGCGCGGCGTCTGCGTCATGAGTGGGAGCGGCACCGTCACCAACGTCACGCTCAGGCAGCCATCCGCGCCCGGCGCAGTCATGGCGCTTCACGGGAGGTTCGAGATTTTGTCCTTGACTGGAGCGTTTTTGCCTGGCCCTGCACCGCCTGGGTCGACTGGAATGACCATATACTTGGCAGGCGGGCAGGGCCAGGTTGTTGGAGGAAGCGTGGTGGGACCCCTTGTGGCTTCAGGGCCCGTGATGGTGATCGCAGCGACGTTTACAAATGCGACGTATGAGAGGTTGCCGTTGGAGGAGGAAGAAGAGCAAGCAGGAGGGGGTACTAGTTCGGG